AAATGAAAAGATGGTGCGTGATTGGAAGAAAAGTGAAGCCTCCCCGAAGAAGATACCCAAGAAAAAATGTGCTGTAAGGACCGGCATCTGTCACTGGCCTGAACTAGAAATTACTTAGAAGATTGGGTCAACGAAAACCGTCAAGATGGAATTTACTATTTTATTATAATCTTTATGTTAAATAAGTTTCCTAAACACGAATTTCAGTCGGAAATATAAGCGGCAGGCCACGGGAGTTGAGCTAAGTGATGCACAGCGAGTGTTAGGCAGGCTGTTCCACTTGTTTACCAGTACAGTGATCCCTCGGTTTGCGAGCGCCTCGATTAACGAATTACCTTCCAAAAGATTCTTCACTTCGGTTAACGAGCAATCCCTCGATTAACGAATTCCTTACGAGCGCCCCTCAACATGTTTTCGCTTGCACACTTGCTGTCGTATTAGTCCGCCAATACAGTAATCGGTTCTTGGGCTTAAATTCCTTAATATTTTAGTAAATATCAAGAAGTTTGTACTATTCAATAATTTTAAAAGTCTTATATTAAAATTTTTAGTCATTTTAACAATTATTTAATATAATTTAAGTACAGGGAAACTAGTTTTTAGCGAGCCAAATAGCCTGTCAACACACCATACAGGCGTCAGTCTCTGTCTTTTCAGTGGAGATAACATCTTGCATCACACTCTCTTCAACATAAACCATTTTTTTTCCATTTTTACAGGGAAATTATTGGTAATTTTGAAATTTATTATACATATTGATGATATACAGTAAAAGTCCAAAAATCCGGATGCCAGAAATCCGGACTTTTCGAAAACTATTTTTTTTTTTTTAGCGGGCTTTTGTGTGTATGTGCGCATACGTGAGCGCCACAGCTGCACAGTGACAACAAGCGACCACGTGGTCGCCACTTTAAAACGAGCAATCAAACTGTGACAACATACCGTATACACTCGTCTATAACCCCCCCCCTCGTTTATCAGTCGACCCTGATTTTTTGACAGAGAAATCGTTAATTTATGATATTCCTTGTTTATAGGCCGACCCACGTTTCTGAGGGTAATGGAACAACAAAACCTTCAGTAAAAACGCTCTACGTCCTATAAACTGAGGCTCGCCGTGCCTGAAACATGAGTGCCGAAGGCAAATTGTTTACCATTTATTATTACGATACTTTACACTGAAATGCGGGTAGTTTCAACAAAAATATTGTATATTTCCATTCAAGTGTTTATTCAAGTCAATTAGGAAGGAATATTATTGTAATACAACAGTTTTTTAACTAAACCATTCGAAAAGCGATTACGGTAACATCTTTTGAACGAAAGAAAGCGAAAGTCATTGTTTTTGTCACGATTTTATCCCACTTTCCACTGTAATACGTACGTCATTTCAGCAAAAATATTACATTTCCGTGAATGCATTATATCAAGCACAGTATGAATAGAATACCACTGTAATATAACAATATTTTGAGTCCTATTCTTTCCATTTACAGAGTACTGTACAAGCCCATAATAATGGCTCCTAAAGTAGATAAACTTCATTGTGTGAAGAGAAAGAACACGTTGAAATTGAGTGACAAACTTGAAATAATTAAGAAACTAGAACGTGGTGTGAGCAATACTGTTCTAATGGAAACATACGCATTGGAAAGTCTACAATTTATGATATAAAAAAGGCAAAGAATAAAATTCTAGAATTCACAGCTTTTTCATTAAAACTGCTCGTTTTGATAAATGAAGCATGCTATATTTGCTAATGAATAAACTATCAAAATGTACCTGTTCATCTCTTCTTTATTCCTCCTTAAATTTGAATTTTAAAAGTACTGCCTGAGATTCCGGAAAATCCGAAAATCCGGACCGACCCAATCCCCAAGCAGTCCGGATTTTTGGACTTCTACTGTATAGCGCAGTGCAGTGTTAATTTAAAGAAAATATTCTTTATTTACAGCAATTAAACTTAAAATATCACATGTTGAAATTGTTTTTGAATCCAGCATGGGTCCCAAGAAATCAAGAAAAACGATTTCAATCCAGGTGAAACAGGAAATTATTAAGAAACATGAAGAAGGCATTAAAAAAATGTGCTTAGCAAAGAATATGGCATGTCGACATCAACTGTGTCGACCATTCTTTCACAGAAAGACAAATTCAAGGAAGTGAAAGTGAGAGACAAATCTACCAGAGTGTTCAAAGGTAGATCCCTAATAGCAGAAACAGAGAGGTTACTTCTCATTTGGATTAGGGAAAAACAGATGAAAGGTGATTCAGTTTCTACTGAATTTATTTGTGAAAGAGCCAAGGAAATATACGAACATTTAAAGGTAGAACAACCTGGTTCTTCAGGCACAGACTTTGAAGATTTTAGGGCCAGCAAGGGCTGGTTCGAAAAATTTAAGAAAAGAAGTGACATATTTAGTGTTGTTAGGCATGGTGAAGCTGCTAGTGCTGATAAGGAAGGGGCAGCAAAGTTTTTAGTGGAATTTAAAGAACTAATGGACACAGAAAATTATATTCCACAGCAAGTGTTCAATATGGACAAAACTGGACTGTTCTGGAAAAACATGCCCAAAAGAACATTCATCACCAGAGATGAAGCCTCTTTGCCTGGGCATAAACCCATGAAAGACCATCTCACTCTATTGCTTGGTGCCAATGCTTCAGGGGATTTCCGACTGAAGCCTATGCTAGTCTACCACTCTGAGAACCCCAGGGTGTTCAAGCAACAAAAAGTGGTAAGAGGACGGCTTGGAGTTTATTGGAAATCCAACCGTAAGGCATGGGTGACAAGACAGCTCTTTAATGAATGGGCTGTTGAGGTGTTTTGCCCTTCTGTGAAGAGCTACCTAACAACCAATAAACTCCCTTTAAAGGCTCTTCTCCTCATGGATAATGCCCCTGGTCATGACCCTCAACTTGCCAGAACTTTGGAGTCTCAATTTGACTTTGTCAAAATGTTGTTTTTGCCTCCCAACACTACATCAATCATACAGCCAATGGACCAGAATGTGATCAGCAACTTTAAGAAGCTGTACAAGAAGAAAATGTTCAGGAGTTGTCATCAGGCAACTTCCACTGATCCTGAACTAACACTGGCACAGTTCTGGAAGACACAGTTTAACATCCGGGAGGCTATAAAATTGATTGTGTCCTCATGGCAGGAAGTCTCCACTAGAACCCTCAATTCTTCATGGAAAGCACTGTGGCCATCAGTAGTCCATGATTTTGAGGGATTTCAGGATGAAACAGAGTTGCACCAGGAGATTGTGTCCATTGGTCAGTCATTGGGCCTTGAAGTGGAGGAGGAGGATGTGGAAGAGCTTGTGATGTCTCGTGAACAGGAACTTACTCCTGAAGACTTGCAGCAACTGGATGAGATGTTAGAGGCTGACAGTGGTGAAGAGGAAACGGAAAGTGATGACTATATGTCAACTTCAGAGTTGAAAGATGTTGTTCACCACTGGGAGAAGTTCAGGAAACTGGCTTCAAGGCACCCAGATGTGGAAAAGTCTGAACTAGCTTTGTGTCATGTTGAGGACACAGTGGTTTCCTTCTTCAAACATCAGTTAATGATGAGGAGGAGAGATGCCCCAAAGACAAAAATTGACAGTTTCTTCAGTAAAAGGCAGCAGGAACAAGATGCTAGCCCTCAGCCTTCCACTTCAAGAAGGAGAGAGGATGTTCCTGCTGGAGAATCTGTCAGTCCAGAGGTTCCTGACATTTTCATGGAAGGTGACTCACTTTCCAAGAAGCAGTAAAATGCTTCTCCTCCACCTCCACTTCCTTCTCTTCTCCCTTCTCCTCTACCTCCCACTTCAAATTCACATGAGCATCATCATCCAGGAGCCTTCTACATACACACCTCAAAGTAAGTGTACTTTACTACCTTTTTTGTTGACTTCAGGCAATTTTCGGTGAGCTGGAACCAATTACCCAAAAACCCATTGAAACAAGTTTTGGTTAACGAATTTTTCGGTTAACGAGCAACCTTCTGGAACGAATTGTGCTCGTTAACCGAGGGACCACTGTATGTGGTACAGCTTCACATTTTATACTCGGCATATAAGTCGACCTTTGGTTTTGGAGAAATTTTTTCAAGCTTAAAATGTTGACTTATACGCCACAACTTATGGTAGTAAGAATCATTGTATCATTGCAAGAGTGAATGAAATAACCCACAAACAACAATTGTGTTTATGTTTCCCACCTGAGGCACCTGTGTCTCCTGCACTGACATCTTAGTTACTTGGGCTCAAGATGATCTTTCCTCTGTTTTGGGAATGCTTCTTAGGAAGGCTTCTCAGCCCTCGGAACCCCGAAATTTTGTCCGAATCTTCAAAAATCCGGATTTACCGGGTCCAAATCTTAGAGAGTTCGCTGTATCTCTGTTAGCCAGAATCCCTCTTTGCTGGAACTCTCCAATAGCTGATATGGAATTTTTTTCAAAAATTTTCTGGGTTTGGGAAAAATTGTCTTAGGTTGAAAATCTTTGCATTTTCAGGAAAATTCCATGAAAAATTCCGGATTCTCTCTCCAAATTCTTGTCCAGGTACTGGAACAAATTCTGAAGTTAAAAATCACTCTCATTTCCTGTAAACTCCGAGAAAAATTCAGGAAACGCTATACAATTTTTTATCTTCAAGATCTGAGCAAATTTCATGGATGAAATAATGTGTAATTCTGGAAAGTTCAGGAAATTTTCTCCCAATTTTTTTTGAGTAAATTTTTTTCTGAAATTTTTGTACATATTGCAAATTTTTATTAATTACATGAAATGTGGAAATAAAAAAATAAAAAAATTATCATGAATTTTCGCGAAAAGAACTTCGTTAAAAGGTCAGGAGTATATGTTAAAAGGTAAAGGATGGGCCGCACCTTGTATTAGCCACATAACTCAACCCACCAAAATAGAACATATTTAAAAGTTGTCATCTACCTCCCAAATAAACATTCAGAAATAGAGGTAAATTGGAATAACAAGTAAAGAGTCAACCAACCTGACAGTCCAGCTGCTGCAATGAGCCAGACACCAAGACTGAGGCGCGTCAGCACGTCTGAAGTCTTCCCCGACCAGCAGAACAAAACAGCTCCTAGGTAGCCCACCACCAGTGCCAATGCCTGAAAATTCAACTCATATATATGGCAGCTTAAACAGATATTCCTAACAAATAACCAAACTTGTCACCTATCTCTATAACAGTTTACCTACAGTTCCTATAACAAATGGATAACAAACCACATGTAATGTCACAGAATCCCCACAACAGGAGAAGAAAGCGAAACAGTCTATGTTTCTCTACAACTGAATATTAAAAGTTACTGGTACGATAGATAGGGCGGCTGCCTAGAGGTGTAGCAGGGTGGGTTCACCTCATACATCAATTATGGATGCCTGAGAAATAATGCTGTACAAGTAATCAGCCATTATAATCAAACATTTTGATGCCAGCAGCACAGGAAAATTGTCCTACTTAGTGAGAAGTGGTCTTAGATGATCCCTACTCTCTGATAATTACTTCATTCCTAGTTTAATGTACAGGAGCAAGTGTCCTCCTAGGCACTTAAGACAACCTCACCTAACTCTGTGTTATGAACCACACTGTACAGTACTGGTGTTATGAATCACACTGTACAGTACTGGTGTTATGAACCACACTGTACAGTACTGGTGTTATGAACCACACTGTACAGTACTGGTGTTATGAACCACACTGTACAGTACTGGTGTTATGAACCACACTGTACAGTACTGGTGTTATGAACCACACTGTACAGTACTGGTGTTATGAACCACACTGTACAGTACTGGTGTTATGAACCACACTGTACAGTACTGGTGTTATGAACCACACTCTACAGTACTGGTGTTATGAACCACACTCTACAGTACTGGTGTTATGAACCACACTGTACAGTACTCAGAACCACACTGTCATCTATGAGGGGTGTTATGAACCACACTGTGTACTGGTGTTATGAACCACACTGTACAGTACTGGTGTTATGAACCACACTGTACAGTACTGGTGTTATGAACCACACTCTACAGTACTGGTGTTATGAACCACACTCTACAGTACTGGTGTTATGAACCACACTGTACAGTACTCAGATGTCATCTAAGGGGTGGTTGGAGGGGCCTTAAGGAACCCCTTCACACACACTGCCAGCAGCTGGGTAATACAGAATTGTTCCAGGTCACAGTCTCCTGACAGTTCTCCTTCTATAAATATCTGTATACAATTGAATAAATGTTCAAGTGTGTTGATATAAAGTGTATGTGTGTCAGGGGAAACATATACAGTACAGTACTCAATATTCAACCTCTGGGTTTCGGGCTATGGTGGTCCCCCCCATCACAGGGGTATATTCGGGAAGATTTAAAAAACAAATAAAAGCAATTCTAGTCTACAAACTGGCCATAAATTATATAAACAGGAAATAAATAAATGTCCTTACCACGGGGTGGCAACACCAGGGCTAGGAGAGTTGATAATGCTCGTGAAGTGACGTGTGTGTGTGTGTGTGTGTGACGCAGGAGTACGAGGTAAACGACACTAATTTGTAGGCAGTATGAGGTACAGTCGGGGACAAAAGTTCACTCCCAGTAGTTAAACTGAGTAATGGGAACCAGTCTCCGAACTGACTTATACCTTGTCTGTTTCATCTCATTTGCAGTTGATGCTGCTTCATTTTGGGCAAAAGACAACTTTTGACCCTGACTGTACAGGACACTTGTTTTACTATGTTATTACTCTTTACAATCATTATTACTGCTCCAGTAATTTGGATCATGATTGTAGACTTGTGCTGGGAGGGGGGGGAAGTGAGTCAAGACCAAGGACGAGATGCCTACATCACAAAAGCTAAGAAGCTACTGAGAAGAGACTGGGAGACTCTTAGGGAGACGCGAGGAGGCAGGCAGGGTAGACAGACGTGTAGGGGAGAGCTCCTGGAAATTCGGAGATTCCTGGGCCCCATCAGGTCGTACTGCCCTGATTCTTGTCATTCCCTACGGGGGATCAATCGGGGCTCAAGAATTACGCACTAAAATCCCTGATCTAAGCATCACTTGGGGAAATAGCAGTATTCTTTCCGGTTTAAGCCGGCCGGGCTCCCTGACCCAGTGTGTGTGTGAGGGAAACCCAGACACCCTCCGTCCCGCGCCGCCTCCACCACTCACAGCCACCGCCATGCTGCCAAACGTTGCGACAGTACCACAATCACACACTTGTACACCATTTCAAATCTGAATCTCATTCTCTTCTTTTCGCCATACCAAACTGCTGTTCTTGGGAGTGAACTGCCCTTGTGGTCTTTAAAACCTTCAACCAAGACAGTGGGGCAACTGATATCCCGGCCCTCTTTCTTGCCGGCATAGGGAATGTAGGACTGACAGTGCTATGCACTATCCTAGGCTACGCACATAACTTGCGCCAATCTATCATGCTTCGCTCAAAGAAGCAATAATGACTGTCAAAGCGAAAATATTAATCACAGACCAGAGGTCACCAGACAGGTCTACCAAGCGAAAGCTGACAGAAATTGTTCGAAAACACAATGTCAGGTACCAGAACGTAATAGAAGCAAAAGATGGCTTTATCATGCTCATGCTTGAAGATCAAGATCTGAAAAACCTCTTGTCCCAGAGTTGTATAAACAATCTTAGAGAGGAGCACTATGACCCAATCTTGCCTCCTGCATTGAAGGTTAAGAAAACTGTCCTCTGCTTCCAAACGGATAAATTCGTGCACGATCAGTCTGAAGTGGAAATAAAAGCAGAGATTGAAAAAGAAAAAGCTTGGGCGGAGAACAAGGTGGACTATGTCAAAAAATTTACCAGTAAAAAAGGCAAATGGATAATCAAAATTCAGTTCAAAAGCACCGAGGTTGCTGAAAAGGCAACCAATTCAGGTCTCCTCGCATTCACTTATAGCATACCGTACCACTAAATACAACAGGAACAGTACCACCACACACATACCTGCCTCAGGTGCTATGCCATTGAGGATCATGATAGTGTGAACTGCCCCAAACCCAAGGAATACAAGATCTGTTCCAAGTGTACCTCTAGGGAACATACCTGGACCGAGTGTAAGGCACCACTAAAATGCCTTAACTGTGATGGGCCTCACAGCACTATGTCCATGCACTGTCCCAAAAGAAAGGAAAAAATCAAGGAAGCACAACAAATAGCCACAAATACATCAGTATCACCATACAAGGCTGTGCTGCAAAAAGGGACCCCGACTCTTGCAGTCACTGCACGGTCTTACAGAGGTGCAGTGATGGTAGGGACCCCGACTTCTGCGGTCACTATGGTCCCTGCAGCCATTACGGACTCTACAGTCTTGTTGAATACCAGAGACAGAAACCTCCATGACTGCGACATACTAGCCAACATGATTGTCAAACACGCCCATGAGGAGGATGTTCGGCACCCAGGCTGCTTTCAAACAATACTCGAAAAATGCTTACGCCACCACAATCTACCCATCCCAAAACTGTTCAGGGCAACATCCTCAGCCTCGGAGGAGACAACAGTAGCCTTCGGTGTGGGTGCACAAGTACCCACATCGGAGATAACACTTGTCCCCCAATCTCCAACATTCACAGACGAGACAACAGTGGTCTCTGGTGTGGGTGCACACGTACCTACACCGGAGATGATACCTGTCTCTCGGACTCCGAGCGATCTATCAGGAAAAGTCCTGAATCTAAGCATCTACGTACCAGACCACATAAACAAGGACTGTACCGGTACACGTGATGAAGTCGCTAAAGGAGTATTGGTGTGCAAGATGAAATGGAAGTACGACCACCCTAGTTCCGAGGAGTACATCCACGAAGCAATTAAACAAAAACGAGTCGATTTAACAGACTGCATCCACAAGACATCGGATGGGGTGATAAAAAAATTGAGGAATGGACGCACAGTGAACAAACCACGAACCCGAGGTATCCCCCCAAAACCAAATACAAGATACAATGGGCTCGCTTCGTAAGGCAGTGAAAATAATGCAACATATCGTCCTCCACTGGAGAACTAATAAATTCAGTATGTCCAGCCAATACAGTCAAGTCGACGCAGATATTATACTCATAAACTCACACGGCCAAAAAGCGGCTGAGGAACTGAAAATATTTGGTGACATGATCCATAAATCCAATCAATCAGAGGAGCCAAATGACGGGGTGGCCATCGCCGTAAAAAGAGATGTCCACCACAGAATCATAGACGACTTCACCTCTGAAACTCTCGCTGTTCAAATCAACTTAACCACAGGGCCAATCATAATAGCCACAACCTACCTCCCACCACGCAGGGACTACCTGCCTTACGGGGACTTCCACAGACTCCTATCATATCACCACCCAACCTACATCATTGGAGACATGAACGCCAGACATCCTCTACTAGATGGCAAGAGGACAACTAACATTGTTGGAAGAGGCCTCACTGGCTTCATAACAAACAAAAAAGCCCAACTAATAGGTCCAGACTTCCCCACGTTCTACAGTAGGAACTCAGCCACTACTCCAGATATAGCAATAACAAACAGCAGAAGCTTCCACAACTATCTCTTTGAACAAGGCCCTGTAACCTCCAGCGACCACCTACCTATAATCATGACCATCTCAGCAACACCAATAACTATACCAGCTCCACCACGGAGAATCGCCAAGCAGACCGACTGGGACTTATTCAACGAAAAAGCTACAGCCGAAATTGAGGTCAAGGGCATGACAATCCTGCAGATCATAGACAGTCAGCCGGTGAACATAATAGACGAAGAAATCAACACATGGTGTGAAGCCATAGGAACAGCCTACCAGCAGGCCACACCTCTCAAACGCACACCCACAACAGATTCCAGAACTCATAGCCCTCACAAACCGGTTACAACTGCTACAACAGAGAGCCGAGACCCATGGTTGGGACATCGTAAGCTACAATACATACAGAAGAATCCGGGAGGAAATAAAAACAAGATCTCTGGAACAAAGTAACCTCAAATGGGCCGAAATAGTTGAACAACTCTCACATACATACAACGATCCAGGAGAGTTTTGGCGTCGAGTTAAGAGGTAGAAAGGTTGCAGCCATAACGAGTCATCATATATAACTGACCACGCAGGAAGTAAAATATATGACGACCAAGACAAAGAACCCATATTCAGGAACATATGGAGGAACATCTTCCGAATCACAAATGAAGAGAATAGGGGATTCGATGGTACCCACGAGGAGCTCGTCCTTGATGAGCTCCGGGGCCAGACACACCGCACTCAGCCTTCCCCTGAAATCATATGGGAGGATCTGAGAGTGGACAGCCCATTGTCCAAACCAATCACCTCGGAAGAACTCAAAAGAGCCATCTCCAATACCAAAAATAAAGCCCCGGGTTATTCAGGCATCACCAAGGAGATCCTCAGCCACATAAACAACCCGCCATGGAGAGACTGAGAACCACAATGAACGCTTGCCTGGCCTCGGGCTACTTCCCAACAAAATTCAAAGAGGCCATTATTACCCTAACACCAAAACAAGGAAAGAACCCCGCAGTCCCACTAAACTACAGACCGATCTCCCTCCTCTAAGTACCTGGAAAAAATCCTAGAAAAAATCATCAATAACCGTCTGAGAAATCACCTGGAAACAACAAACAGAGTCAACTGCAGACAATTCGGGTTCAGGAAAGGGAAGTCCACCACAACAGCGATAGCCCTGGCATGTGAAAACATAGCCAGAGCCGCGGCGAGTGGTAGACAATGTAATCTAACTCTCCGGGATGTAGCGAAGGCATTTGACAAAGTCTGGCACGACGGTCTAAAATATAAGATCCTCCAGCTCGGACTTCCCACCAACATTGAAAAGTTGCTTTGCAACTTTCTTGACGGCAGAAATGCTAGACTGAGGGTAGGACAACACACAGCAGAGACCTTCCCACTCATGAGTGGAGTCCCTCAGGGAAGCATCCTCTCCCCCACCCTATATATTATCTACACAAGTGACACCCCGCCTCCCACTAGAATAGGTAACGAAGATATTATGTATGCAGACGACATCACTCAAATAACAACACATCAAGGAAAATCGCAAGCGTTACAGGCCGAAAACACCATGCAGGAATTAGAAAGGGTAAATAACTACGAAAAACAATGGAAAATCCAAACCAGTCTCCCGAAATTCACAGTGATACCCTTATGCAGAAGGAAAACCCATCCATTAGTAACCAATAATGCCCAGATAGAATACAAAAGCAGAGGCACCCTCCTGGGCCTACATATATCCACGACAGGTTACTCCCATCATGTCCACAGCAGGAAGGAAAAAGCAAGAAGAGAGCTGAGAAAACTATACCGCTTTAAATCGCTTCCTGAAAAAATAAAACTCCGCCTGGTGACATCATTTATCACACCGATATTAACTTACCCAGTAGTACCTCTTCATACTATGAGCCCCACTCAAATATTAAAATTATAGGTGGTCCAAAATGAACCCCTAAGATTCGTCACAGGTGAAAGATACCCCTTCACCAGAACCACAGCCGAGATACATAGACCTGAGAATGAAACCCATCAACCAGCAGCTGCACACCCTGGCCAGCAGAATCTGGCAAAAGATAGAACGATCAGAGCAAGAACTCCTTCAAAGACTCCCACCAGATAACGACAACAACCATACGTGATTCCCAAAAAGCTACGAAATCTCAAAAGGTCCATTACCACCCCAGATCTACACGGCCAGGCAATAGACAACCCCCCCCTAGACCAGCATCTGCCAGTAGGGTAGGCGGAATATGAAATAAGGCCCTTAAAAGACCCATAAATGGGACAGGGTAGGCTGTCTAGTGCCTGTACCGGCAGACAATAACTAACCCATGACACAACCAAAACACACTATTAGCTTAGTTAGGAGGTCAGCCCGCCCTGTCTTACCTCCTCCTAAATTTCTTCAATTTCCGAACTATAACTTTCTTCCCCCACCTCTAATCTTCCTTCATTCCTCCTTTCCCTACAAAAAAAAAAAAAAACAAAAAAAAAAAACTCTTAGGAGCAAGTGAATGAAAAATAAATATCTACTTGGCAATATAACCAAACCATGACCTTTCTTTTTATTCAAATAGGCCCGCGAAAGATCAAAACATCATGTGATGTGACCCGAAGCTCTACAGACACACATCATAGGATGTGACCCAAAGCCAAGGGGTTAAGTGATAATATTAGCATCTGGCACCACCCCACTATGGTACAGCACTGTAGGCTAAACTTGTATGTTCTTGTAATTACATGAATCACAGTGTTATACACATTTCCTTATTTACGTCTTACAACATTTATATTTGGTGATAATCCATGGCCAGTGTTATGTCAAGAGTATTTAACAAGTCTAAAAGTTCAAAGGATAAAACTTGCTTCAGTACAGGAGGTCCCTGACTTACAAGCGCCCACCAACACGAACAGGGTTAAACTAGTATTTTATTTACCTCATAACTTATTTTTTACTCTCATTTACTGTATTTTGTCAATCAATTTCTTCTTTTGTCTTAAATTAAGTAACTATAGATGCATATAAGGACTTAGGCTATGATATAGTGGGACTTTAAACATTGTTCTGTAAGTACAGTAAGCACATAGCATGTGTTCTGACTTACGTACAAATCCGACTTATGAATGTCCTCATGAATGGAACCCGTTCATAACCCGGGGACCCCCTGTACATTTAACCAGCGTCACAGCATTAAACCTTCCCATGTCAACAACTTACAATGTATCCATTAGTGGTGACGGTGGAGACGAGAACAGCGATGATTGAGAAGAGGTAAGAGAATATGGTGTAGGCCAAGCTGGTGAGAAACTCTGGGGTGTGATGGATGATGATATACACCACAGGCAGGATCACTGTCACTGTCACCACACTGCGCACATGTTGCACCACAAACCTGACAAATATACACCACACAACTTATAATACACACGTTTGTAAGTGAAATAAATCCTATATAATACAGGTATACCCTGATAACCAACCATATAGGGACCGGGAAAAATCATTGGTTAGTAAATCAACGGTTATTGAAGAAATTAATCCCATAAGAACATAACCAATTCAGGGTGTTAGGGACCGGCCACCCTCCCATCTACCCTTGATATATCTCTGTACTGCACACTGTCAAACAAGAAAATAAAGAAGGCATAAAGCAAGCATAATAAGACTTAAATATGCAATTGAGACTGTTATTTACCTGTGTTGAGGACAGTCTAGGGTGGCAAGTTCAAGTCTCTGCCACTCTTTGCTGGTCCATCACCACTCTTATTATGCCTTATTATGAGGTATCACATCACATGAAGCTGCACAAGAAGTACCATCACTGGGGCGCTTAGGCATAATTGCATAACACACGAAGATGGAGACATATGGTAAGTGTAAACAAGTGCAGAGAGGCAGGTTGAGTCGGAGGCAGCACGCAGAGCCCTCTCGTGGCAAGAATTAGCACCATGCTACCACTCGCCAAATTCAAAACAGTTCTGCTGCTTCTCCCCGATCGTTCAATCTTCGGGGTATCATTGAAACTTGCGGTGGACTGTATTTCCCCTATATATAATTGTCAGTTCTGCAAATCGGCAGTTAATGGGACATCGGTTTCGGGTTATACCTGTGTGAATTTCCAGTGATCAATCTGTTTATCTGAGGCCCATTATACAGGGTGTTTTGGAAATATATTTTATAATTCTGGAGATGCATTCTGAGACATACATAAGGATAAATGAATCCATGACCAGTGTCAATACCCAATAACTTCAGAGTTATAACACATGACAGTTGGGGTTTGAATGTGATAACATCTATGGCATATAAATGAAATATCCAGTGTTGTTAACTTGCTAGTACAATCTAATATCGAGTTTAAAGTGAATGTTCAACGTTCCGGCCCTCTTCTTGTATGTAGGCCTTAGCTCATAGCAAAAGTGACTGTCATACACATTTGAAGAGTCCACGGAGGTTGGGAATGCTTATGCACTCAGCACCATAATTTCTCACTCTGCTTTTAACGTGACCCCACAAGTAGAAGTCAAGGAGATTTAGACTGAGTAACAATGGAATTCCTATGTGTTGGGTATCCTTGCAAGTGGACAGAACATAGGCCAGTTCCATGGCCACCTCAATCACCTGACCTCAAACCCCTTGACTTCTGTTTGTGGAGTCACATTAAATGCAATGTGTATGCTACAGAGATCCCGATTTAAATGTCTGCAGTGAGATATACAGTAAACCAGCGAGTCATGTGCTGACAAACCACCTGCTACTCTCAAACACGCTCCATCTTCCTCTGCTGTTTAAGTTCGGGATAAGTAATAATATTCATGCATTTTCGTGAATCAATTACAGTGAACGCAGCTACCCTGTACATGCTCGTGGTAGACTATCCTCACCAATAAGCTGGGCTTGCCTACCATACTCATAATTATTTCTTTATGAACAACACAATTATACTTTACTGTATATGCTGCTTTAATTCCACAATTACTTGATGCAAATAATGGATTTACAAATATTTTTATCTCCATTTGCATATGTTTATGTCACTGGTAGCATTGTTGTCAAGTTAGACTCGTCACTGTAGCCACATTCCCCTAGCCTCCTCCCTACCTGGCCAAGCTGTGAGTAGGTGGTAGGGTGGAATCAAAGGCATTTCGTCTTATTAACTCTCCTTTAGTTGATAATCTCTCTTCCCTTTCTCTTCGCCGCAAAGTTGCTTCACTCTCTCTCTTTTACAGGTACTTTAACGGGCAATGTTCGGTAGATTTGGCATCCTGTGTACCGCCGGCAAGGCCGTGGGCTCGTAACACACGTCTTGCCCGCGGTGACCACCGTTTCTCTGTGGATGTCGGTCACACGAGAATAACCAGTTATAGTGCATCCTTCTTTCCTCACACAGCCAAACTGTGGAATGCTCTGCCTTCTTCTGTGTTTCCATACTCATACAATCTGTCTCACTTCACAAAGCTGGTTTTCCGGCATCTCCGCGGTGTAGAATAAAATAGTATTTTTCTCTTCTATTTTTAATTTCTTTTTACTCTTATTTTTCCAACCCGTAGGCCGCATTGTGGGTCGATGACCCGTGCCGAGGTGGGCTAATCCCCATAAAAAAACATTCTATTGATATTTTTCAACTTGAAATTTCTGGTAGATATTCAGTACATATATTTCTTCATATATTTCTACTCAGTTACTAGCACACACATGCATACAGAATGTGCAAATAAAAGAAATAATTATCATAAGGTTAAAAATATAAAAGGAATAAAAATTTTTTTTGCATGCTAGCGAGAGTTAGCAAGCTGATCAGGGGAGCAGGAAGAAAGGGAGTCAGGGAACACTGATGCTCTGGATCGGCAGAAGCCGTGTCCTAGCTGGGCTGCATTGAAGCTGGCCAGCCAGCTGACTGTGATACGGTGTCTACACTAACTTGTATTATTTTTGTTCTTTTATGCTTTCATTGTTGCTATTTATAGTACTGTACCTGTATAAGCTTTCATTATTGCTAAGTATATTCCTACAATTAAAGGTTTGAATACCATATACATAGCAACCAGCAAAAACGAAAAAAAAAATGTAGCATAAAGGCTTTACTTATCAACTTCCAAGCCAGGAAAATCATCATTGCATAAGACAGAAAATCAAACTTGTGCTTCACACTTTAGCTGGTAGACCTATGGAATGACCTACTACAGGTTGTACCTCTCTAGTCCGGCAACCTCGGGACCTGACCGGTGCCGGACCACAGACATTTCCGGACCATGGAAATTCACCCTTTTCCTGGACAGATAGTGACTTGCGCTTAAGTTAGCACCACTTTCACTGCTTTGTGGTCTCTTTGAAGACATATTGAAGGGTTAAATGTCGTACAGTAGCTTCTCAAATTTCACGAGTTTTTAATCCACCGTTTTTTATTTAGACACAAAAAAACACTACATAATTTAAAATTTTGACGGCGGAAACTCGAATTTCGACGTGTTTGAACGGCCCGCCAACGTCCAGACGACGTGCACAATCGTGTAAACAGCGTCATTTCTCTTATGTACAAAAGATTCATTAATGTTTATTACTGAATGTCTTTTTTTATTGAATTTATGTTTGTGTGTGCAAAATGAGCAATACAATTCATTAATAATACGTAGAATATTAAAACACACGAGGAAATGAGACAGCATTGTTTTCGTTGATTACAAAACCAGTGACTGACTGGTTCTACATATAAAACAAAAAAATAAGACCCTGGTTGTAGCTGTAGGCAAATGAATGTAAAAAATTAATATGGTTGTTTTAAGTAATGTTATTTAATGTTAATAAATAGAACAATAAAAGTAGCAAACCATTAACGTTAAAGAAAAAAGTGAGACTGCGCGTATGTAAGTGAGCACATGTAAAAAACATATCATCATTACTCTACAGAAGAATATGAAAGCAACACTTATTTACTGTTCATATATGTTTTACTTTTACTTTTATCCTCTTCACCAAAAGATCGGCTTGTTAACCGCCCGGGCGATCGGTCACGTCTCTGTCACGCACTGTTGGCAAATACTGGGCATGCACCGGCTCCTGAATGTACCTGAACCCGCTCCAGTGTTGGTCAAGTCTTGTCTTGAAAGAGCTCACACTCGGTGCAGTCACAACACTCTCTGGTAGATTGTTCCAAGAGTTCACAACCCTCACTCCGAAAAAAATTAATGTTTCTGATTTTTTTATTGAATTAATGTTTGTGTGTGCAAATTGAACAATACAATTCATTAATAATTCGTGGAATATTAAAACACACGAGGAGACGAGACGAGAGTCGGCATTGTTTTCGTTAATGTTTACAAAACCAGTGACTGATTGGTTCTACATATAAAACAAGAAAATAAGACCCTGGTTGTAGCTGTAGAAAAATTAATGTAAAAATTAATATGGTTGTTTGAAGTAATGTTATTAAATGTTAATAAATGGAACAATATAAGTAGCTAATCATTAATGTTAAAGAAAAAAGTGAGACTGCGCGTATGTAAGTGAGCACATGTAAAAACATATAGTCATTACTCTACATAAGAATAAGAAAGCAACACTTATTTACTGTCATATATATTGAAGGGTTAAATGTTGTACTCTGTACTGTATAGACAAACAGAGAGAGAGAGAGCCGAACTGCCAGATGTAAACAAACCTTAATTTCTCGCGGCTTTGTTGTTGTGTTTTACGGGGATTAGCCCACCCGGGCACAGGTCACTGACCCACATTGGAGCTTGAGGGGGGAAATGCAATACTCCAGTAATAATAATAATAATTCAGATAAGTAAAAAAGAAAAAAAAAGCTGCTTATCTACCTATTGGACAAACTAAAATCGTTCCGGACCACGGGCGTTTCCGGACCACAGAATGCCGGACTAGAGAGGTACAACGTGTAGTTCAAGCTGTAAAATCAAAAGCAGTACCAGGCGCCAAAATACTTTCTATAAAGTTACCAAGTAAATAAACTATGAGAGGTTAGTAGAATAAAGCAGTTTACAATTGCCAATACTTAACTTTACGGCACTTGAATGCATCATTTTGGCTAAACTTTGAGTAACACTAATATAACATAGTACGGTAGTATAAACCTGCATAGTACCTAACAATCCCTTAGACATTCATGCCATGTCTTGTCAAAGTATATCTAGATTTCCATATTTCTTGAATGTATGATAATCATTCATTCTCACTACCAAACTGTATGATCAAAAAGACTTATAGCTCTATTCACTCTATTATTTTTACACACAATTATTCTCTCTTGTAACAAATGGGCACTTACCTGCCAACGATCTCTGATATGGTGTCAAGGAGACGCAGCGGCAGAAGTGCAACAGAGACTGAAAGGAGGCTGTGAGCTCCCTGTACCTCCGACAACCAGGCCCGCGTCCACGTGGTGAAGGCGTGTTTGGCCGGATGAAGCAATGACCCACACAGAACGGCCCACAAGAGTGGCTGTACGAAGGGCTGCAGAGTCAAAGTTTATGTGAACAAAAGGAACCGACGCCTTAGCGGGATAATATTCTGGGACTATTGTGCACAATACTGTGTGGAGGAGAGTAACAACACTCACCTGAAAGATCATGTAGACGGACCAGGCTGCCGCAGCGACACACCCAACAAAGACGATGGCAGCCACGTTGTAAAAGGCGTTGCGGAGGGCCTGGTCATAACCCTGAGGTATAAACTGTCGCCACACCTGCTCCAGAGGCGAGCGGACGTTTTCTCCGTATAGTGACATCGTCGTGCTTTACTTTTTTATGTCACCTGAAATAACAATCTAATTTTATTTTACAAACTACAAACTGAAGAAATAGACCACCTTTAAATTATTCCCCCAGCTAATTTTACCTAATAACTGAACTCCATAACACTACTTGAGGGCCAGATCAGGTTAGCAATAATCTTTCATAAAAGAAAATGGAGGCTAATGATCAGGTGATCCGGAGGGTAAGGTGACAGCCAGGCAGTGTTGGGTGACAGCCAGACAGTGTTAGGTGACAGCCAGACAGTGTTAGGTGACAGTCAGACACAGTGTAAGGTGACAGCCAGACACAGTGTTAGGTGACAGCCAGACAGTGTTGGGTGACAGTCAGACAGTGTAAGGTGACATCCAGACACAGTGTAAGGTGACAGTCAGACACAGTGTTAATTGACAACCAGACACAGTGTTAGGTGACAGTCAGACACAGTGTAAGGTGACAGTCAGACACAGTGTTAGGTGAGAGCCAGACACAGTGTTAGGTGAGAGCCAGACACAGTGTTAGGTGACAGTCAGACACAGTGTAAGGTGACAGCCAGACACAGTGTAAGGTGACAGTCAGACACAGTGTAAGGTGACAGCCAGACAGTGTTGGGTGACAGCCAGACAGCGGTCCGACTAATTACCCAAATGTAGCAGCAATGAAGTCAAATAATGGTCCTACATGAATAAATCGGACTGCCAATCACTTCTCGACTAGTACTTGGTGTCACAAAGTCACAAAAAATTGGAAAACTTACTTTAATCTGAGTTAATAGATCGCGTGCATGTACCGAGGGAGCGAGTAATTACCCAAATGTAGTCTCAATGAAGTCAAATGATGGTCCTACAAGCGTAACTCGGGTTGTGAATCACTTCTCGATTATTATTTGATGTCATAAAGTCACAAAAAATTGGTAAACTTAATTTAATCTGAGTTGTGTTAGGTTAGGTTAGGTATATGCACTCGATCTATTAACTCGGATTAAATTATGTTTTCCATTTTTTTTTACTTTGTGACACCAAATACTAGTCGAGCAGTGATTGGCAGTCCGATTTATTCATGTAGGACCATTATTTGACTTCATTGCGGCTACATTTGGGTAATTAGTCGAACCCGCCAGACACAGTGTTAGGTGACAGCCAGACACAGTGTTAGGTGACAGCCAGACACAGTGTTAGGTGACAGCCAGACACAGTGTTAGGTGACAGCCAGACACAGTGTTAGGTGACAGCCAGACACAGTGTTAGGTGACAGCCAGACACAGTGTTGACAGCCAGACACAGTGTTAATTGAGCAGACACAGTGTTAGGTGCAGACAGTGTTAGGTGACAGCCAGACACAGTGTTAACTGACAGCCAGACACAGTGTTAGGTGACAGCCAGACACAGTGTTAGGTGACAGCCAGACAGTGTTAGGTGACAGCCAGACAGTGTTAGGAGACAGCCAGACACAGTGTTAGGTGACAGCCAGACACAGTGTTAGGTGACAGCCAGACACAGTGTTAGGTGACAGCCAGACAGTGTTAGGTGACAGCCAGACAGTGTTAGGTGACAGCCAGACACAGTGTTAGGTGACAGCCAGACACAGTGTTAGGTGACCAGACACAGTGTTAGGTGACAGCCAGACAAAGTGTTAGGTGACAGCCAGACACAGTGTTAGGTGACAGCCAGACAGTGTTAATTAACGGCCAGACACAGTGTTAGGTGACAGCCAGACACAGTGTTAGGTGACAGCCAGACACAGTGTTAGGTGACAGCCAGACGTGTTGGTGACAACCAGACACAGTGTTAGGTGACAGCCAGACACAGTGTTAGGTGACATCTAGACACAGCATTGGGTGACAGCCAGACACAGTGTTAGGTGACAGCCAGACACAGTGTTAGGTGACAGCCAGACACAGTGTTAATTGACAGCCAGACACAGTGTTAGGTGACAGCCAGACACAGTGTAAGGTGACAGCCAGACACAGTGTTAGGTGACAGCCAGACACAGTGTTAGGTGACAGCCAGACACAGTGTTAGGTGACAGCCAGACACAGTGTTAGGTGACAGCCAGACACAGTGTTAGGTGACAGCCAGACGTGTTAGAGTGACAGCCAGACACAGTGTTAATTGACAGCCAGACACAGTGTTAATTGACAGCCAGACACAGTGTTAGGTGACAGCTAGACAGTGTTAGGTGACAGTCAGACACAGTGTTAGGTGACAGCCAGACACAGTGTTAGGTGACAGCTAGACAGTGTTAGGTGACAGTCAGACACAGTGTTGGCGACAGCCAGACAGTGTTAGGTGACAGCCAGACACAGTGTTAGGTGACAGCCAGACACAGTGTTAGGTGACAGCCAGACACAGTGTTAATTGACAGCCAGACACAGTGTTAGGTGACAGCCAGACACAGTGTTAGGTGACAGCCAGACACAGTGTTAGGTGACAGCCAGACACAGTGTTAGGTGACAGGCAGTGTTAGGTGACAGCCAGACACAGTGTTAGGCGACAGCCAGACAGTGTTAGGTGACAGCCAGACACAGTGTTAGGTGACAGCCAGACACAGTGTTAGGTGACAGCCAGACACAGTGTTAATTGACAGCCAGACACAGTGTTGGGTGACAGCCAGACACAGTGTTAGGTGACCAGACACAGTGTTAGGTGACAGCCAGACACAGTGTTAGGTGACAGCCAGACACAGTGTTAGGTGACAGCCAGACACAGTGTTAGGTGACAGCCAGACACAGTGTTAGGTGACAGCCAGACACAGTGTTAGCGACAGCCAGACACAGTGTTAGGTGACAGCTAGACAGTGTTAGGTGACAGTCAGACACAGTGTTAGGTGACAGCCAGACACAGTGTTAGGTGACAGCTAGACAGTGTTAGGTGACAGTCAGACACAGTGTTGGTGACAGCTAGACACAGTGTTAGGTGACAGTCAGACACAGTGTTAGGTGACAGCCAGACACAGTGTTAGGTGACAGCCAGACACAGTGTTAGGCGACAGCCAGACACAGTGTTAGGTGACAGCTAGACAGTGTTAGGTGACAGTCAGACACAGTGTTAGGTGACAGTCAGACACAGTGTTAGGTGACAGCTAGACACAGTGTTAGGTGACAGCCAGACACAATGTTAGGTGACAGCCAGACACAGTGTTAGGTGACAGCCAGACACAATGTTAGGTGACAGCCAGACACAGTGTTAGGTGACAGCTAGACACAGTGTTAGGTGACAGTCAGACACAGTGTTAGGTGACAGCTAGACACAGTGTTAGGTGACAGTCAGACACAGTGTTAGGTGACAGCTAGACACAGTGTTGAGTGACAGCCAGACACAATGTTAGGTGACAGCCAGACACAGTGTTAGGTGACAGTCAGACACAGTGTTAGGTGACAGTCAGACACAGTGTTAGGTGACAGCTAGACACAGTGTTAGGTGACAGCCAGACACAATGTTAGGTGACAGCCAGACACAGTGTTAGGTGACAGCTAGACACAGTGTTAGGTGACAGCCAGACACAGTGTTAGGTGACAGCTAGACAGTGTTAGGCAAGACTAGAGCTAATAATAATATGTAACATGCCGCTACCATTTTCCAACTGCAGTATCGCAACAAGTCACTTGTTCAGCAGTTTTCCTTCACTGTTAATGTTAGGTTGACAGAAAAATGACAAACACAGTTTAAAAACAGCTAATAATAATACATGGACTTTCTAATAACCTTCTAGACTCGAGTATCCCACTTAACAGTCTTCACCACACGTCGTCACACTTTATCCTCACACCATTATTTACACCATATAATATACATATAAGGTGAGTTATTTGCCTTAAAGACCTTGAAGAAATGCGAGAAAAGGGAGAAATAGGAAGGTATTCACCCAACCAGCTCTTAACAACACCTGGCAAACTTGTCTTTAGTTCCTGTGCCTCACATGTTGATGACGTCAGTAACACCTGCAGGTGCCAAATTTGCAATATCAAATAATATTTGTGTAATAAGAATAGCAATTGTCTTGTCGTTATATTATGTCTGTACATATCTTTGATTAATATTATAAATGTATATTGTAATGAAGACTTACCATAAGTGTATCCTTTGGTTGACATCACCTCCATTCTTTGTCTAGGAATTATTGATGCACCGAGCCCACATAGTGTTACCAGATTACTACAGCAGTTATTGCTTGACTTGACGCATAGTTATAATTCCCAAATGTTGTTCAGTATTCAGTAACAAACTATTGATTAAATATGATTCCTAGTGTAAAAGACTTTTTTCTTTGCATTTCTTACATATTTTTCAATCTCTTTGATTGGAAAAAGAAGTCAGTGGCTTGTTGAATACTGCCATTGTTCGGGGTGCGCTTGGCCTTCATTAGTACAGGAGGAACTGGAGTATCCGGAGACAATCCGTCATGTTTGGTAGTGTCACACTGGGTAAACAACCTTCTCACATCTGTCTTGTGCCGGGGTTAAACCCAGGAAAATATACTGTGGAATGCGCACTTGACCATTGTACACCTGTAATTAGGAGTAAATAATTTTTTAGTTTATAGCCTAAATTTCTTTTGATCTTATGTAATTTTTATATTACAATATTTGTTATCAACACAGCTTGTGAAAGAAATTCTTATACGCTGGCAACACTTTCACTGCGGCAATGGTCCTGATCAAGGACTATTTATAGGAAAGACAGGAAAGAGAGAGGAACCGTGCATGGTCATTGGTGTTTGCCTAAGTTCTCCGCGGTTTCAATAGATGGCAATAGTTATCAAATGAATTTGTTGCTGCATGTTTACATACAGTGACCCGGCATGTCAGGATGAGTGGAAGAGGCCATTGGTGTTCCGTATGTAACCGTCAAAAAAGGATAATCCAGAGGTTGTTTTCCATGTATTTCCAAAAGATAAGGAAGGTAAGGATGACTTTAATTAAATATTCACAAAAAACATACATGTTAAACTGTACACAGTAGATATCATATCATAAGAAAAATAGGAGTCAGGTTGATAAGCATGTCATGCATAATGATGCTCAAATTTATAGCACTCATTCACATATATGAGGCCCATAACAATTAGAGCAGCTTTTTGTAAATAATTTTGTATCATATTACATAAGGACTTTGATACAGTCCACTGAATATTCTTTACTTTTACTTTCCTTTATCCTCTTCACCACTGATCAGCTCGTTAGCCGCTTGGGCGATCGGTCACGTCTCTGTTATTTTTTCTTTCTTTTATCCTTTTCACCAAAAGATCGGCTCGTTAGCCGACAGTGAGCAAAAGGAGGAGGAGGGCGGGTCAGTTGCATCTCTGTAACAAAGCGCGTTCGGCACTCGGGCCTTCGATATTGCGCGGCTGGGATTGGACAGTGATGTGAAAGTGGAAATCGATGTAGGATTTTTAATGCTAGACGCGATTGTATTTTTGAAAACTCAATTTCCACCGAGTTGGAGGTACAGCCAATGTCACAAGGCCTATAACCACAAAATCACTGCCATATGACAAAGCTTTTATTTTTATTATTTTTTTTATGGAGTTGTGGTCACGGCTGTGATAAAGGCCAACCAGAGAGTGTAGTACTGTGATTTTAGGTAAATCAGTTCATAGTGTCATCAGTGACCGCAGAAGAGACTGTAAATAACTTAAAGTGAATACAAATTGGCACTCAAGCTGGTAAGGACCACTGCCAGCCTATTCGTGTCATAGGTGCCACAGAGACTTTAAATTTTATTTTGTTTGTGTGCTTTCTGTAGAACTGAAACTGTGTCTATAATACACCACTCACAGGAAGAGACAGTGTACACAGTGATAGTTCATAGT